ACAACACCATCCATTAATTTCTGATTGAATAGCAATTTACTGAATAATTGGATGAGTAAAAAACAAGTAAAGATGTTACATAAAATATAAATTGTATTACTTAGATTATAAACACATGCCTTTCTGCTTTGTCAACCTTTTCAATGTATATATGTTAATATATAGACATTTATAATATTGAAAAAATGACTGTTTATATATAGATGTTTATATAAACAAAAATGTTCATTTTATTCTTGTTTTGATAGTTAAAGAAATAAGCAGAATTTTTAATTCCTTTTATAAAATCCTTAGCATAAAATGAAAACGGTTCTCAGTAATCACAATCTGAAATAGTTATCTCTTGTTTTATTCTCTTCAACAATTTTACATTGATAGCAGCCAGTTTTTAAATAGAAAAATGATACAGTTTTATTTTTGTACAGACAAATGTAAAAACAATTTTATCTTTTTAATAGAAGAGAAATATACTATTGGTATTATTTATTAGTATGTCATACAGAGAGTAATCTCTTGGAAAAAAAATATATAGGTTTTTGTAGGTTACTAATTGTTGGTAGTGGATAATCTAAACATTTGTATGACCAGAGGTATATAATTTTTTAGATCCTAAAATGAGAGATAAATATTGTTATTTATTATATAGATTTGTACAACAAACACAGACTTAAATCTGTAAAATGTAATATCCAAAGCTGAACTAAATCTCTGTTAATAGATAGATTTTCCTGTTGAAATCATAGAAAATTAATAGATTCACATTAATATATTAACTTGAACAAAGTGACCTGCTAAATCTTATATGACAACATTTTCCTTACTTAGCCATGTCCATCCCTGTCAAATGGAACATGTTATATCTTCTGGCATCTTGTTGTTGCCTGAGTCGTGCACCATATTGCATGCTGTCCATTTTAATGAATTTGGCAACAGATAATGTGGTAGCCAGAGGCTGTGGTCAATGCTGCCAACCATAGACAACTAAGAGAGCAGTCTAAGGATTTTCTCTTTTTTCTGCAATACATTTGGGAAAATTGGAATTTTATATTCTTGCTTGCTGTGAATGTAAAGATTTTTATTGGATTTGTTTTGAAATTTGTATTGTCTTTTTCTTTCCAGTACTTTTTGCTTTTTCTCTTATATTTCTTTTTTTTTTTTTGCATGTTGATTTAGTTTAAGAGACAAGAAAGAGATATGTCTGAAAGGAGACCTGCTTAAATTGGTTAATACTGAGGATAAAAATTATTTTGTTTTCAAATCATTTTAAAGAAAATTTATTTGTAGTGGATGTTATTCATTTAAAATCACTCAGTTGCATAAAAACATTACTGTTCTGTTCTCAGTTGATGAGTAAAATATTTGTCAGAATAAAGAATTTCACTGCATTACTCTTACTGAAGATATTGTTAATGGTATTTTAGTTATAGTGAAATGAGCAAATTTTCACAGAGAAAACATTTGACATTCATTGACTAAATAGTTAATGCTGCTTTCTTTTAAAACAGTTTTTCAGCTAATCAAATTTCTGAAGCCCAATAAATGTTATTGCTCTTTCTACTATTGATGAAGAACATCTTTAATGTAGTATGTAAGGTTAACATCTTAATTATAATATCATTTTCCCTTCTAGTTACAAGTGCTACCCATTTTTATTATTGTTGCTGTTGGAAGTCTTCAAGTAATGTTTTTGTTAAAACCTATAAGATTATCGTCTCTAAGAACTAAAAAATTCATACACTAGAAGCCATGGGTTTATCAACAAGGAAAAATGGTAAAAGTGTTAAAGGAAAGAATACAGAAGGCAATATAAGTGTGTACAAAAAATGAAACAAATAAAAGTATGATATAAATACCTAACAAGACAATGGAATAGACATATATATGAGACATTATTATTATTATTATTAGTAGTAGTAGTAGTAGTAGTAGTAAGGTAGTTAGACAAAACACTGTAACAACAGTTACTCTCAAAAATATACAGACCAAAAAATTATGGAATTTAAAGGTCTATAGATTAAGACTACTTTTGCTGACTAATTTTTTAAGATGTGTGCAACCTGCTCCATGTGGCCTACTAAAAGAGAGTCAAGAGTTTTAGGGAAAGAAAAATGGAAGTCATTGACTATGACTAGAATTCAGTGAATGTGACAATAGTCTGCCAACACTAAAGTATGTTTGTCGACAGGGTAAGTAGGAACCAAAGACTCCTGTTACAGAAGAATTTCTTTAGTTTCTGCTTTTGATGATTTTATTATTTCAATTATTTTTTTCTTTTTTCTACATTTTTTTATTTTAAGAGGGAGAATAAACTTGAAAATAAAAATGATTTTTGTTTTCAAATTTATTATGTTTCTCATTTTTTAATTTTTTTTACTTATTTCCATCTTGTTATAATACTGTTTTTTTTTTTTTAATTTCTTTGAGTTCATCTTCTATTTTTCTCCCTATTTTTTCTTCACTGGTTTAATCCTTCTCATCTGGTTCTTCAATTTCCCCTTTTTTTATCATTATCTTCCTCTGTCTTTACATCCTTCCAGTTTCTTTACTTAATTTCTTCTCTAATGACATGCCCACTTTCTCTTCCATTTTCATTTATTTTTCCATTGTTGTTTTCTTCTTGCTATTCCTCATTTGCTTTTTGTATTTACTTATTCTATCAATCATTTTTTCTTTCTTTTTCCATCTGTTGTTTACTTACATAAGCGGACTATTATAAATATGGGTTGGTACAATCACTTTTAGTTTATGCAGGAACAGTCTTCCCAAGAATATACCAAACTAACTCAAATATTGTGTACCTATTTTTGTGTCAATACATTTTGTTAACATTTGTGTTGTATTATTCCATGCTTATTTAAGCTTCAACACCATCAATCTTTTTCTTTCATTTGCTCCTTCTTCTCACATATGTCATTCTCTTTTTTTTTCTTCATTTTGTTTTCTTTTGCTAGACTTAATCTTTTTGCTTACTCATTTTTTGTATCCTATTAAAACAGATTTTTTCTTTCCCTAATCATCTTATTTTCATTTTCTTCTTCCTAATCTCATCTCTTATTGGAGGACCATTTGGTAATATTTTATTCTTTAGTTATAAGGAAAACCTCAGCCTTTTCTCTGCAAAAACTGATCTCATTTCAGAAAAAATAATGGTGGTTAATGAAAAGGGTTTGTTCTTTCATTAGGAACAGAATATAACATACAACAGCCTTTCATACATATTAATATATAGTTATACAAATGAAGGATTGTTGTTAGTAGATTATTCATTAAACAATTAGAGCTTAATAAACTTCAAAGTCTTAGCATCCTCTATCAATCATTCTGGGTTGATAGCATCTAGTCACATTAGAAGTAGATTACTTTAAACTAGACTGGCTTCAGAATAGTGTAGATCTAACATCTAACAAAGGATTTGTTGCTAAAGAAGCCTTTCACATTTGACTACATTTTATTTTATCAACACCAGGGCATAACAAATTCATAGAACTGAATATCAAAATTTGTTGCTTACAACAGAACATGCAGATGAGACAGGAAAAACTTGTCTATTTTTATCTGAAAGTTAAGTTGTAGTGTCTTTACTAAGAAGAAAAATGAAAAAATAAATAGCATTTTTAAAAGGCCATCAATTACATTATACAGCTGAGGCAGGTCAAGGTACATATCAAGCAAAATATCATGAAAACAAACATGAACATATTACCATATATACTTGAATATCATATTAGTTTTTATGATCAACTTTTTATGCAGAAAATAGGGGTTTGCATTTTACACAGGTAATGTTTTTGAAGAATTTAAAAATCATACTTGATAATACTTGGTAATTTTCTGGAGGAGCTAAAATTCATGCAAAAAATTTCAGAGGTTGGACGACACATGAGTTCAGCTTATACACAAGTATATATGGTAGTCCAAATAATATGTGAAATAAAAAATCATTATCATTTTCCTTCCACTCCCCATCCTTATCATAACCCTTATAATTGTCACTTTACAATTATTAAGTCAGATTTGTTAATATCTTTATTATTAATATCTTTATTACAAGATTATCAATATGTATATCAAAATTATATATGGAATTTCTCATGACCATAATTTTTGCCAATCTGCTTGGTATTGAGATCATTATAATATCTCTGGAGAAGGAATATTGAAGAATGCAGTCTTAGCAATCTTAAATTATTGATTTTCTTATAAAGTTCAGAATATTAATTGACTTAAATAAAAGTCAATGGAACATCCCTAAATATTTTATTCATTGAATTTAGTCTCACTCCTGATAATTTTAGAAATATTTTTATTGCCTTTTCAATTTTTTCATTCTTTTTTTTTCATTTCTGGTTCAATCTAAAAATAATTATGCTGCAGAATATGCATGTCTAATTATATGAGGGGGTGCTGAAAACCTTTCAGCTTAACCCTATTCCCCAAATCTGATCAAACATTAAACATTTTTCCCAAAACCATATACAATAGGAAGTAAAAGTGTCCTAACAGTTCATAGTATTGATAACAATCTGTGATAGGAATGCTGAGAATACCATGGACTGAACATGTGAATGATGATAAAGTTGTAAAGAAATGGAAACAAAAAGAACACTTACACTTAACATCAGAAGAAGATTTAAAATTTCTAGGGCACATAATGAGGAAAGAAGGCTTGGAAAATTTGATCCTCACAGAACAGATTGTAGGGAAGTGAGTCAGAAGAAAACAAAACATAACCTAATGAGCTTGACTGGTTGGTTGTTTTTGATTGGTGACATATCAACCTGCGTTATTTAATTCTGAAATCTAGATATTTTGTATGCAATTTTATTTTATTTTTGGAGATAATAATTTAGCAATACAAGTGTCACTAATTAACCTATAGCTTTGGGGAAGAAGAGGATTCATACCTTTTCCAAGGTTATTTGTGTGTAAGTGAAATTGAAACTCATCTCTCTAATTAACAATTCTGAGTTATTATCCATTATACCATTTGCAAATTCAAGCTTACAGCATCTGGTATTTCCAAGTGGTCACCCATTGAGGTACTGACCAAGCTCAACATTGCTTAACTTTGGTGATTGTACTGGAACAAGTGTTTCAACACAATATGGCTGTAGTCCTACCAAGCCTGAGTTGAATGGCAGAACAAGGTTTAAGAGATAACGAAAAGAGAAAATTTATTAAGAGCTGCAAAGGACAGAAAATTGTAAAGAGCCACAATCACCAATATCCTGAACGAACATGGCACATAGTAGAAAAAAAGAGAAACATTGACTAACCTACCTAATAAACTTGTGTAAATGGATGGGAGAATAGAAGTTGGGAGGGATAGTAAGGAGACAAACATTGTTTAGAGTTAGAAATGATAGGAAGTTGTGGAGAACCATGATCATTAAAATCCTGAAGAGACATGGCATATAAAATATGAACCAAGTTCAAATTTTCACCAGGGCTGTTCATACTCATACTCTTGTGAAAAACCTGAATCCATTCTTTTTCCTTCCAGCTAAGAGTAAAATAGCAGAGTAAACTGTACTCTTTCAATTTGGTTGGCAATCAGAGAGGGAATACTCTGAATTCAAAACTAAGAATGGAACCCTGAGACAGTTTGTTGACAACTTTCACTTCCTTGTGGCAGTTCTAGTAACCAAGCTGATGCCAATACATCCCAAAATGTATGGCTGACAGTGATTTGGTGAAGCTTTGATGATTTTAGCAAGCCAGAAGTGGATTAAATAAATTACTCAAGTAAAAACACAAAAAAGAGAATCTCCTTATGACAAATGAATGAGAAAAATATGCATAATGTTGACAGATTAATGCACTCAAGCCTATACAATAATTTACTTCATGAGAAATAAAGAAAAGAGAAAAGTTTAAAAAAATCCCAATTTACCATTAATTGTTTTGGCATTTTTCTAAACAGATACATCGTTTTCTCCTTTTCTAATGGAACTGATTGAAGCCAAGAAGGACAAAAGGAAAATAGTGTGTATCCTATCTAACGAGCTTCCTGAAGAGACACAGCACATAGAAGAAGAAGAATACAGTTCTACATACATTTCTGTTTGTAGATGATTTTTTCTTGTAATTTCAAAGTAGATAATGTTTAGTATAATAGCTTGCTCCTAGTTTCCAGATACACCCATTTGTAAGGTTGGCTTGCTAATCCCTGTTGCAGACACCTTCTCAGACACATTTATGCTTTTTCAACACCTAAAAAAAACAACCTGTGGTTTATATTGCAGTTATACTGAACAGATTTTAGTCACAGTTTCTGGGAGAGAGAGCATAATCAGATGTGGCCAGTCTGCTTAAATCTTCAGTCATGAAATGCTAACACAGCTACTGACAGCTTCCAAACAATTTTGTCTACTCAATTTCACTCTCAAGATTTGGATCAACCCATAGTGTGGTTTTCGGGCACTTCCCAACAGTGTTGTTTATTGGAATCTTTGCAGGCCAATAATATCAAGTAATCACCCTGAAAAATGAGCAATGGCGAGATTTGAAACTAGGTCTCATGGTTGGAATTTTAACATTCTAACTACTCAGCCATATTCCAATATATAGAGACTAAAGTAGAGAATATATACCAATATCTATGAAGATAGACTAACAGAGAGTCTACTTAGCAGACCTTAGTTACAGGAAGATAGTACATAATCTGGTGTAATTAGTAGCTGAACAAGATCAATATACTTAAACGCTCAGTCACGATGACATGTGAGGGCATGCAAGCATAACCACTGACTGCTTCCAAATAGGTTTGTCTACCCAATGTCATTTATATTTTAAGTTGGTTATATTTATATTCGTTTTGATCATAATGGACAACAATTTCCTGTTATATTCAGTGTATATTTTTTTAAACAAATACATATATCTGTATATTTAAAAAAAAAATTTGATTAAACAATTACATTTCATTTAACAATGACTTAATCAAAACAGATAAAGCCAAATTAATAAATGTTATCTTAATGTATAGTCAGAGTATTTTTGCTCTGATCAATGTCTTTGCCATAATATAGATATCCTAAAGTATAAATGATCCTAATTGTTGGTCTCCCCAACTACCATTATTATTTGATAACTGAGGTGATGACTCACCTTGGATAATCTCAGGAGAAAAAGTAGTTGTATCACTTTTCCAGCTGCAAAAGAATCTAATTTAACATCAAAATCAAAATTTACTTCTCATTTTTTCTCATTAATCATCAATTTAACTGCTCATCATATTCCTATTTCTTTTTAATTTTCTGTCTACATTTATCTGTTAGTCCTACTTTGGTTTGTAGAGAAAAAATCTATTATATATTTTCATACAGAACCATAGAGCCCAACCTTCTTGATGGAATCATACCATTCCCAAGGGTAGAGTGATAGGGTAGTGATAGATTTTTAATGCTCTATCTGTACCGAGAATGTATATATTTGTTCAATGAGGTCAATTTTAGTACAAGTCTACAGTATTACAAGTTATACTAAAAATGTGGTTGAAGAGATAATAAAAATAAAATGGACTTCCCAGTGCAAGGGATTGAGACCATAACCTTTCAGTCAACCAGCTAGAGACTTAAGCTTTTAATGGAGATGTCACCCCTGTTGACTAGAATATGATCACCCAGTGCAGATCTATAAAAGCCAAGATTTTTTCTCTCTAGTCTTTTTTTGTCTGTTGCCTGGAGGATCTTTGCCACTCAGTTTTAACCCCACTCAAGATTTTTACCAGTTGGTTGTTTGCTGAGGAAGTCAGTCAAAAAGAGAAGACTAGGAAGTCAAAACAAGCAGAGACAGTATAAGAACAAAGACTATTACTAAATATTAAACTACAATGAATCAAGTTCACATTCAATTGCTTATGAGACTCACTCACTAGCCCTTGTAATATGAGGATTATTTTTAGTTGGGGGGATAAAGAGCTAAATATTGTAAACCCAACATTTCTTAATATTTTTATTTTCAAACTTTCCTGTAAAAGGAATTTCTAGTTTATTATCAAAAATCTACATCTGTTTTAACTAGAATCTGTGTTAGCTGACCCAATAAAACTTAGAAAATATCTAAAAGCAGGACTTAAAACATCAATTTTAAATAAGTCAAAAAACAAGATGTAAGTTCAAACCAGAATGGTAATTCAAGTAAGAAAAGAAGAAAAGCAATCCTAAAATTGAAAAGAACTGATGAGGAAGATGAAAGAAAGAGCAAAATAAAAGAAATCAAGAGAAGCTGAAGAGATGATTGTGGAATGAGAAAGCTATATTTAACATTTAATAGGTCACAACTGTATCTTATATTCTTCCAATTAAGAAGTAATGAGGAGATTTAATTAGACAGAAGTGAACAGCTAAGAAATAGCTCAGAGGAACCAATTGAATTTCTTTCAGCTGAAATTGCAATTGGAATAAACAATTTCTTTTCATGAAAGTTAGTGAAACCAACAGCTACAAGTCTACTTTTCAATAAAAGATCATGCCAATATATCTCCGTGTCTGTGTGTTTATGTTCACATGTATCTACACACACAATATATATATATATATATATATATATATATATAGAGAGAGAGAGAGAGAGAGAGAGAGAGAGTGAGAGAAGAGAGACGGAGACAGAGAAGGGTTAGAGGTAGTTATACAAATGAATATATGTTTTAAATGTCATATATTTAAGCCATAATCCTTCATTCAAGCATATTCTATTAAATAGAACAGGTAGAGAATTGAGATTTTTGGTGAGTTTCTTCTGCTATCAAATTAGTCATTTTAGTTCAGGTGGAAACTTGTCATTTACTAGTTTCCACCTGAACTAAAATGACTAATTCAATATTAAGAGAAGCTCCCCAAAAAACTCAATAGAAAATTTGTACTATTAAATAGAGAGTGTGTGTGTGTATGCACATGTATGTGCGTGTACCTATGTATCACAGTAAAAAATAGTATAACTATATAGTGTTAATGTCATTTATTACTTATTTCTCAATTGAAAAATGCTTTTTGTAACAAAATTATCAAATACATTTAAACTAAAATATTTACAAAAGTAATTTAATTAAAAAAATAACTTCTTAATATTCAATTAAAAAATGAAATTTCAAAATGTAATTTACATTTTGCATTACACAATTGGCAAAGTGGCAATTAATAAACATTGAATGACAAATGTTTCCTTCAATCAAGGTTTTATATTTTCAACTTAGTTTTTCTTTATGATTAAAAATAATTTTGTTTTACCACCAGTAACCCTTTTTGCATCATTTACTGTTTTTAGAACCTGAATATTCATCTGGTTGCTTTGGTTACAGGTTTTTAAGTTGCATAAAAGATAACATTGTTTATTATGTATTTATATTTTGGACAAATATGGCAGCATATATTTCAATGATTGTTTTGTATTCATTTTTGATTTTATTGTTCTTATGCTAATGATTTGAACTTTGTAGTATAAAGCTTCCATTATTTGTTGTAATTTTCATTAGGGAACCTTGCTAGAATTTCAAACACAACTTATTATTTTAAATAACTGGGGTATATTGCAATAATCCATCTTAGTGATTCTCATAATCTGGTTAAGGATCAAGTGTTGCATCTTTTGTTGTGGTTGAAAATTACAGTTGATAATGAAAACTTCAAAATAAAAGTTCTCACAAAGAAATAGTTTTCTTCAAAAAATTTTATGCTACTTTGATTTCTCAGGCAACTAATAAGCATTTTCCTAGAGCAGTTAGCTTACTACTTGCAGAATATGCAATATCTTCATAATATGAATAACTTGGATTTAGTATGATTGCATGTATATTGTGAGGGTGTATTCACTTTGTTGATAGTAAAGAGAAAAAGAGATGCTAATGTTCAAAGGAAATACTCAATTGAATTATTCTCACTGAAATAATACATCAGGAAAAAGCATCAGGAACTGTTCAAAGACCCATTTATACAAAGCTTCTATATTTTCTCAGATAACAGCCGCCATTTTGCAAGGCCACAATTTTGTTTGATTCTGAATCTCACTTTGTTCTGCAAAATATTTCATTAACTTGCTTCAGTGTATGAAATGCTTGTATTCCAGCACAAATGTACAAACATGGTTGCACAGATACAGAACAAAGACAAAG